TCAAAACCAGAAAAAGAAGTGGAATCGAGTTTTGTTGTTACTTCATTTCAGAACCCAGCCTGGACCCTCTTTCCTCGAGGCAGCTTCCTCAGGCCCATGGTGACTCAGGCAGCAGGACAAGCCTGGTGGCCGAAGATGAGGGTGGATTGTCCCCGGAGGTGAACAGCTCCACGTCCCAGAGTGAAGACCCCAGCCTGCAGCTGGTCAGTCTGGCACTGGGGTTCTGTCCCTGAGTGGATCTGGAAGTGAACCAGAGAGATGTTTGTTGTAATCAATGAGCTCTTGGTGGCTGTTTTCAGGTGTCTGTCCTCGTGTTGAAGATGAATGAGGTGAACTGTGGCATAGAGGCACGAGGGGATGATTTGTCTGTGGCTGTACAAGTGATGAACGTGGTTCCAGAGCAGCTGAACAACGTGGGGATGTGGCAGTATCTGCGTGGCTACGTGGGTGAGACACTGCTCTGGGACTCAGCTGCTTTTACAGCTGTGCTCTTAGAACTGGCTTTTACAGCAGCCTTGCTCGGGGAATATTCCAGTAACTGGGACCTCAGTGTTTGGGGTGGTTAGGACTGAATACAACTCAGCTGCGAGGGTTCAGATCTGCATTTCAAAGATGTTTCCCAAATGCCTGCATAGCCAGGCTCTGTGGGGCTTAGTAATCATTGACTGGGATTTTTTTAATTCCTGCTAGGCTGCACGAAATGAATTAAAAGAGTGAATAAAGCTATCTAGGGAAACCCCAAAGTTATTCCTGCTCTGAGAAAAATGCTTTTGGTCTAGGGTACCTCCCCAGGGCTAAATTTGAATTAAAAAAACCCAACCCAAACCCCAAAACAATCAACCCCCCACCCCCCAAAAAAGGTAACTGAACCCCTAAGTAAACAAACCCCAGACAGCTCCAACATGGATTCATTTCAAGTGAGAGATGATGTCAGACTGAGGTCACTGTGAGCTTGGCTGCTCTCTGCAGCTGGGCAGGAATGGGCTTTCCAAGATGCCCTTTCTGGGTTTAGACCCGGCCGCTGGTGCCCCGCTGTGCAGTGACACCTCTCTGCTCCAGCTGTAGGAGCCCCGGGTGTGGAGGAGCCTGCAGCCCCCGTGCCCAGCCCGCCCCAGCCCCAGCTGTGCCTGCGCCTGGACGGGGGTCCCGCCGCCGCCGCCCACTCCCCGCTGGCCGAGCGGAACGGGCTCCTGCGGGTGCTGCTGCGGGGCTGCCACACACAGCTCGGCATGTCCTCCCTCACCAGCCTGGGCCCCTTCCTCGAGGATGAGATCATTCCAGAGGTGATCCCCATGGAGATAGAGGTGGTGGATGCCAAAATCACGATGCAGGTGAGTGTGTGGGGAACCAGAGATTCCTCCCGGGATGGCAGCCAGGGCAGAGCTCGCTTGGAAGATTCTGCTTGAGAAGGGACCCCATGGGATTCCTAGGGGCCTCTGTAGAACTTCTGTTTCCCTGAGACTGGTTTTGCTTCTAAAAACTGCCTTAGGGATGAACGAGGAACCCAAGGGAGCTGTTGATTACTGCTCACGTGCAGCCTCTTCATGCAGCCCTTCTGTGGGTGGGTGCCCTGGTGAGCTCTGGCAGGGCTGCTGGGCAGGAATGCTGCTCCTGAGGAGGGTGCAGGCGAGGAGAATCCTTTCCAGAGGGCCAGAGCTGTCACAGCAGCTCATCTCCTCTCTGCTTTGTGTTTTGCCAGGATGACAGCCCCCGGGTGTACCCCACCTCCCCTGGCCCTGTCCCCATCACCCTGGCAGTGGATCACGTTGTCGTGAGGCGCAGGGACGATGGTGTGTTCTATCTCACAGGTCAGCAACATCCAGGAGCTGGTTGTACTGTCCCTCTGCACCCTCAGGCTGTGCTGGAGGAGACTGGAACTGAATGATGGTTGCTGCTGGGAAGGATGGGCTCCGGGGTGGGAGCAGTCCCTGCCTCTGTTTCCTAGTGTGGGAATTCATACTTGGTATTTCCTTGAGCACACACAGCCAGGACCCCTTTCTGCCCTTCCCTTGCTTTAGTTTCTTCATTTTAAAATGGAAAAGAGAATTTTGTTTCCCTGCTTAAAAAGGAGGGGGAGAGAGAAGAAAAAAAATATTATTCTTTTTGTGCCAAGAGCCCTCTTATGTGAATGTCCACACCTGAATGTGTTCTGTTGCTTTCCAGCTCCCCAGGGGAAGGACTCACTGAAAGAGGAAAAACCTGTGTCAGTTCCTGAGGAGCAAAAGGCCCCAGCAGAGTCTGTCTTGGCAGCCCCAGCAGCAGGAGCACATGGGCTGCAGGTGAGTCATTGCTGCCTGTTGCTGTCTGGACAAGGAGAGAGCTGGCAGGGGGCTGGAAATTCTCTTTGGCCTTCATGTGTTTGCAGTCCCTGGCAGGTGTGGTGAGCTGCAGGAAGGGAGTGTCCAGGGGAGCAGCCTGTGCCTCCTCTTATGGGAGTTCTGAGGAGTGAGGGCACCTTGCCCAGCATAAACCTTCCCATTCCCTTTCAGAAACCTGGTTGTTTTTCTGGTTGGGTCCATCTTCCCACTGTGTCCAGTTCCTTGTTCAAAAAACAGGAATAGAGAGGTTCCCACAAAGAGAAGTTGTGTCATATGTAATTCATCTCAAAAGCTCCTGCTCTGGTTCTCCTCTGAGCAGGTCACTGTGCACCTTGGAAACTCTGCCTTGTTTTCTGTTTGTCTCTTGTAGCTAAAGCAAGTGCCAGAGTTGCAAAGGGAGCTGCAGACCATGAAACTGGCCCTTGCAGAAGCCAACATGGACAAGGCTCATCTTCTGCAGGAGATCAGGAAATACAACCCCCTGTTCCAGCTCTGACAGTGCTGGCACTGCCAGGGAGCAGGGACCAGCACCAGCACCACCAGGGCAGGTTTGGTCACGTCGCTGCCAAATGGGTCTGATCCAGGGACTGAGACCAGCTGGGACTGCACAGGACTCAGAGAGGGAGGGAGGGAGGGAGGCCTGGCTGAGACAAACAGGGAAGGAATGAGGAGGAGTTTTCTTTGCTGTGTTCTGGCAGTGCTGCACTGAGCCAGGGCACTGCTCAGCCTGCAAACACAAGGTCAGATGTTGGGGGGAGAGAGACACATCCTGTGTCTCCTCATCCTTTCAGCCTTCACCTTCCATGGTGACATCTAGAGAGGGTCCATGTTGGGGTTTCTGCTTCTTTCACCCTCCCTTGTTGTGTTCTTGCCCAGTCCTGCTCACCAAGGGACATGGCAGGAGGAGGGTGGTCACTTCAGCACCTGGGGAGTGACAGGACAGGGGTGGCAGAGGGCTCAGGGCTCTGCTGGCTCCTGGAGGGAGGGACAGGAGTGCAGAAGGGATTTCCCCCTGTGGAGTGAGGGGATACAACTCACTATCCCAAGAACAGGGTCAGGATAGTAAAGAAATCCCTTCAGATTTCTTTCTCCACCAGTAATTCCTTGTGTGGAGACAGTGTATTAAACTTAGTCCAGTTCATTCTCACTTAATCCCACAACATTTGGCTTTTTGATGCAGAAAAACAAAGGAATTGATTCCTTACAAGGCACTGTTTAAGTTTACTATCAAAGAACAGGGGGGAAGGAAGTTGGTTCAGTCTCAGAGTGAGATGACCTGTGTAATTTTTGGGGTGCACGTTGTCCTCACAGCTTTGTGTGCCGGAATTCCGGTGGGGAGAGGGAACAGCTGTGACCCCTGAGGAAGGAGCTGCTCCTGCAGGGCCGTGGGGGTTTGTCAGCACTGAGCTCCTGTCTGGGGGAAGTGCTTCAGCAGGACTGTTGGTCTGTGGCCAAGGGGGCTGCTTGGGCTGGGACACATTCCAGAGCCACCTGCTCTGTTCCCGAGAGGAAAACGCACTTGGAGTGGGTGTCAGGGGCACTGCCTTCCCCAGCCCTCAGCAGCGAAGGCAGTGCTGACGTGTCAGACCCCTCTGCAGGGAGTGACTTGCTGTGAGCAGCTCCCAGAGCAAGGCAGGAGGTGACAGAGCCTCTCCGGATCCAGGTGCTGTTGGAACAGACCCTGGGAACTGCCCAGAGCCTCCGAGCAGAAGTTGGACTTTGCTTTGCCAAACCTTTGTGCTGCTCCCTCTCCCCTGGGGAGCAGGAGCTCCGAGACTGCTTGCCTGAGGTGGAATGCAATGGTGTTCCTGCTTTTTCTTTGCTAATTGCTTGAAAATGGAAGGTTTCTCTTCTGCTCTTTCAAATTTTCATGATGTTTTGTTTGGGTGGGGAATGAGTGGGGTGCAAAGGGTTTGCTCTGCCTTGGTGCCCACCTGCAGGGTCCCACAGCTCCTCCCATGTGTGCAGGCTGAGCACAGCTGGGGCCAAGTTGTTTACAGCAAATTTCTTGCTCCAGCAACTCAAGTCAATGGGTTTTGTTGAAGAATTCAAGCGTTTCCTTTGCTTTGAAGTCCCAGTAAAAAGGACTGTAACCCAAAACCCACAGGCATGGGAGGACAAAACCTCCGGGATCTCCATGGATCACAAGTAGCAAAGTTTACTTTGTGGAGCCCCTTATCTAAGGACTCATCCTCTGTTCTGGTGAGAGCCCACGGAATCCTGCCCACCACAGGTGCTGTGGGAGAGCCCGTGGCCTCAGCACCTCTCTGGGGCAGGAGCAGCTCCGGGGGCCTGGGGACGGGGGGAATGTGCAAGTCTGAACTTGAATTTGAGTTTTAGCCAGTATTGGAACTTTGTTGCAGTTTGTTTCCACTGATGCATTTATTGGTTCTATGAACCAGGAGCAAAATTAAACTCCTTAACCTCCTTCCAGG